CATTTACCTCAAATAGATACACTCCTTGGAAAGAACAAACATGGGAGAAAGAAGGGCTGCTTATGCACAGGGAGACAGCTCAGGGGGCAGGAGTGTATAGAGGGATAGACACTGGGAAGAGGTAACTATGGGGAGGAAGTGGGAGGGGAGCTGTTGCATTGTGGTAAACTGTGGTTAATGTTGTCATGAGACAAAGTGTATATGAACTACTGTATGGAAAGTGAATTTGCTCTGTAAATCTTCACCCACCCCACCAAAAAAAAAAAAAAAAAAAAAGACAGGAAAGAAAGAAAAGACCAAAATGTATGTCAGAGGACATTCTGAAACTTGCTCTTAAATACAGAGTAACTAAAGTGAATGGAAGAAATGATGATGCAAAAGGCTGAAGATTTCAAAGGATGGCTCGAAGACAAAATTAAGTATTGTAATGAAATGTAGAAAGACCTGGAGTTAGAAAATCAAAAGGGAAGAATATGCTTAGCATTTCTCAAGTGCAAAGAACTGAAGGAAAAATTCAAGCCTCAAATTGCAATATTAAAGGATTCTGTGAGCAAAATATGGAACAATGCAGGAAGCATTAAAAGAAGATGGAAGGAATACTTCCGCAGTGATACTGCCTCAGAAAACCAAGGAGGGGTTGCTATGAATTGGATCTGACTTGACGGCAGTGTGTTTGTTTGTTTATACCAAAAAGAATTGTTGCTGTTCAACCATTTCAGGAGGTAGCATTTGATCAAGAACTGATGGTACTGAAGGAAGAATTCCAAGCTACACTGAAGGAATTGATGAAAAACAAGGCTTTAGGAATTGACGGAATACCCATTGATATGTTCCAACAAACAGATGCAGTGCTGGAAGTGGTCACTCATCTATGCCAAGAAATTTGGAATACAGCACCTGGCCAACTGACTGGATATGGATGACATTGTGAAGAATGGGAATCCCAGAACACTGAATTGTGCTCAAATAGTACCTGTACATAGAGCAAGAGGTGTACAGAACAGAACAAAACAATAGGGTACTGTGTGGTGTAAAATCAGGAAAGGTGTGTGTCAGAATTGTATCCTTTCACAATACTTATTCAATCTGTATGCTGAGCAAATAATCAAAGAAACTGGACTGTATGAAGAAGAATGCAGCATCAGGATTGGAGGAAAGATCATTAAGACTGTGATAGATTATATGATACAATCTTGCTTTCTGAAAGGGAAGAGAACTTGAAGCATTTACTGATGAAGATCAAAGACTACAGTTCTCAGTATGGACAACACATCAACATAAAGAAAACAAAAATCCTCACAACTGAACCAATAAGCAACATCACGATAAATGGAGGAAAGATGGAAGTTGTCAAAGACTTTGTTTTACTAGGTTCCACAATTAATATTCATGGAAGTAGCATTCAAGAAATCAAATTATATATTGCATTGGCAAATCTGCTGCAAAATTCCTCTTTAAAGTATTAAAAAGCAAGGTTTCACTTTGTGGACTAAAGTGTGCCTCACCCAAACCTGGTATTTTCAATCACCTCATATGCTTGCAAAATCATAAGGAAGACCAAAAGTAGAATAGATGCCTTTGAATATGGTGTTGGCAAAGCATATTGACAATATGTTGGGCCACCAGAACAAACAACTCTATCTTGGAAAACTACAACCAAAACTCTCTTTAGAAGTGAAGACAATGAGACTTTATCTCACATACTTTGGACATGTTATAAGAAGGAACCAGTCCTTGGAGAAGCTTGGTAAAGTGGAGGGTCAGCAAGAAAGAGAAAGTCCTTCAATGAGATGGATTGACAAAGTGGGTGCAACAATAGGCTTAAACAGCAATGATGTGAGGATTGCTCAGGGTCTAGCAGTGTTTCATTCTGTTGTATATAATAAGGTCAGTGAATCAGAACTGACTCGATGACACTTGACAACAACAGGGAACAGTAAGTAAATATGGTTCCATTTTTGTGAAAAAATAATTCTATATAGCCATTCCTCATTTATCAATATAGTTAGGTTCCAAAAAGAGGTCATATACAAAAAATTTGGCATTATGTACAAATGGAGGATGACTACATCATATCACAAAATGAAGATGACTATATCATTAAATAACTGCCAAATTATAGCATTACATAACTGCCAAATCACATCCAGCCAAAACACTAAGAATCACTGCCCAATCAAGTTGACACACAACCTTAACCATCACAGCCAGTGTTATTCTTGCATAGAAACTTGGTATTTGTTATTACCATTATTAATGCACAAAATAGTGGGATAGCAGATAGTGTTTTTACTATTGTTGTAAATGTAAATAAAATGTCAGATAATGAGGTGGTAGGGAAGTGAGGAGTAGGTATATTCATAGGAAATATTCTAGAGGAATAGTAGTGGAAGTAATGGTAATAATTATAACCGTTTTTTTTTAAAAAAAATAATGAGTGATTATATTTTTCCAAGTATAGAACTAAATACCTTTATACATTATTTTAATCCTCACAAAAGTTTCATGAATTCATTAACAATTAGTTAACTACTTAATTGACTCAGCATTAAACTTACAATTCTTGTTCCAGGCACTATGCTGATATTAGAGATACAGTGGTATACCAGACAGATGCAGTACTCAGAGTTTAGCATTATCAAATTTACAGATGAAAGAGAGTTTGCCTTATCCATCAGGGATCTTCTTAGGTTCCATCAGACATACAGAATCACAAGACTCTCATAGGCTCCCTTTGCTAATAATCTAGACAGATGCATATAGGACAGAAACCGGTTTGCCTGCAGGGGAGAATCAGATTCAGTTGGAGTACTTGTAGTCTTTTTCACACAATTCCTCAGGAGTCATCTCTGGCTGCTCAGATAAGGGTTCAGGTACAAGTGATATGACGCACACTGGGTATGTCCAGGAGCCATCCTGACACAAAAACCACATTCTCCCTAGACTGACTTCTTAGGTATAGTGTCCAGGGTCTCCATAAGGATCACTATCACCATTAGGTATTTATAGCTCATTCCACCAGCCACTCCTCGGAAGGAAGTTTGGGCAATCTACGTCCATAGTGATATAGCCTCGGAAACCCAAGGAAGGGTCTCTATGAGCTGGATCAGACTCAACGACCGTGATTTGGTTTGATTTTTGTATAGTTTTTCCCAAAGAAGGCAGTTTACCTTTCAAGGAGCATTTCCATCAGAAGTAATGTTACCTAGAAACATGTTTAACATTTTACTCCTGTCATATTACCATAAAAGCAGAAGTAGAAAGTGAACCGAAAGTCAAATTCTCATGCATAATAAGGAGGAAAGGATGCATTACGTAGTTTATTATCTGGTGAGTGGATTCAAACTTAGATCTATTTGACTCCAAAGTCTAGCTTCTTCTCTTCACTGGGTGGTAACAGAATTGATTTCTGGGCAGAAAGGTTTTAGAAGACTTTTACTTTTTCCTCCATTTTTTCCTGAATTATCAAATATGTTAATAATGTATACAAATTTCTTTCATAATCAGAAAAACTGTTTTCATTTAAAAAGACTGTACCACCATGAAAACATGTCTTTGCTATAGCATTAAGTGAAAGTAGCTAGAAATAAAATGATACATGCATCTGCATTTTGATTAGCACCATTTAAGGAGACACATAGAGAAAGAATCCAAGCAAAACAAATAACAGAGCAATCCTAACAATGGTTGAATTAGGATGGTAGTCCCATGAGGGGCACTTTTTGTTTGTTTTTCTTTTTCCCCCTTGTATTCCCCAGATTTTCTATCAAATGATGCTACTCTCAGAATAAAATAAAATACATACATTAAAATACAAAAGGAAATATATTTAGATTATAGACTATTTGAAATGTACTATGTAGGCAAACATAGTACTATACAATAACAGATTTAATTCCATATTTCTTTGTATACATGAATACCTTTTATGTAAAATTTAACTATGTTAGGTGTTCACAGGTCTCAAATTATCTCAAAACATATGCATAAATATGTAAGATAGAAAGGTAGATTAGAAAGCAGTTCTATGCTGATTCTGACCTGACACCATTATTTAGTGCAGTATTCTAACCTCTGTGGACCTGAGCTCACACATTAGAGTGGGAATGCTATTGATTAACTCCTTTCTTGTTATTTGTCTATAGTTATTTCAATATGCAGCTATTTAAAGTTTCATTTCCTTTCAAGACTCACATTTTGGGCTTTATATGATCCTTCTTTAGCCAAGGACTCATATAGTTGGATAGCTGCTGTTACGTTTTGCATGCCAAAATTTCCAAATAGCAAAGCATCAGCCATTTTCTCCATAGCTCTCAAGTTTCCCATGTCAGCTGCTTTGGCAAAGAATAAGTAGGCTCTGTTTCAAGAACATGAAGTTAGAAGTTTTATTTTCTAAAAAAAGGAAATTTTCTGTTGCCATTGCTACTAACAAAACAGTTAAGTTGAAGTTCATTACATTGCTAGACCAGTAAATTTTTTTGGTTACTAGGTCACTCTAAAATTATAATTTCAAATATATCTGAGGAGTAGTAAACTATTTAGAAGGAGAGATATATGGGATACATTATGCTTCAAGCTTATATACAAAATCAAGTGAAAAAATACTTTTCCTAAAATAGTGAACTCTCCCAGAGCCTCTACCACAATTTTTTTCCACGTTTTATAAAATGAGTTCTGAAATATATAGCAATGATAATTAAAATACAGTGTCCTATCTAAGAATCTTTATCGTAAGAGTGAAAGTCCCTTCATATTCTAAAACAATTTTTTAAAACAGAACATATTCTTCAATATAACAGTGTCAGTCTGTTTGAGAAAACAATAGTTAAACAAAACCTTAATGGTTGTTTAAATCCTGACTACATCACTTACTAGTTTAGAAACTTTAGGCAAGTTACTTAACTTCTCTGCGTCTACCTCATGTATAAAATGGGGATAATAATGACACTGACTTCACAAGATTGCTGTCAAGATTGAATGAGACAATCCACATTTGAAGTGCATGATACAGCTTCTGATACTAAGCTGCTACTCTTATTCCATAAGTAATAAAAGCTGCTATTATTATTATATTAGGACAATTGCATAGATTCTAAAGCTTTGTAGCATGGTAATTGTTCTCATGTAATTAGGTGGTAGATAGCATAAAAGTTAGGAGAGTACAAAAATAGATGCCATAGGAGTATCTTATGCTAAATTTTCTGATTCCCAGTCAGAAATCATCTCTGTAATATGTAGTGATGGAGAGCCTAACAAGGTCAAAATGTATGAGAGATAGAGAGTGCTTTTGGAATTTATTTTTACTCTTATAGCTTTCTTTTTGGTAGCAACAAGACCAGAAAGCATTGACCTCCACCTGTGACTCTGACTCAAATACAGGAAACAATACACAAATCTATCAATGCTGACAACTGAGAAGAGTTGGGTGACTCAGCTTTATTTACCCCCTCTCTGTGCTGAAGCAAAAATAAGTTGCTCTTGGGCAAAGGTTGGAACAGAAAAGGTTGGGCAAGAAGGGCCCCAGATTAAGTGATATCTGGGTAGGTTTGGGGAGCTCTGGTGGCGTAGTGCCTAAGGTATTTGACTGCTAACCAGAAGGCTGGTGGTTCAAACCCACCAGCCACTCCTCAGACGGAAGACTGGGCAATCTACTTGCATAGGGATACCACTTCGGAAATCCAAGGAGGGGTCACTATGAGTGGGAATGACTCAACAGCAGTGAGTTTGGTTTGGTTTTTGGTTTACGTAGGTTTGTGTAAGTAGGTGTTAGAATCTTGGATGGCAAAACAGAGGGTAGTGCTCCAGAGAAACAAAAAGGGGTTGAAGAGCTAGAAGTGAGGTCAAGCAAGAAATTAAACATGGTCAAAGAAAACTGAGGGTCTTAGGGCTAGAAGGCAGACAACAAGATAGAAGGTCTCAAAGGTCAATGAGGGAAAATGTTTGGTATCCAGGGATAAGCATTTAGAAATGGGCTTAACCTCAAGATACAGGTTTCCTTGGGCCTTTCTGTCACACGCTTTGCTGGTATAGCTACATAGGTTACTGGGCCAAGAAGGGTATCCAGAAGGACCAAGGAACAGAAGCCTAAGCTGGGCTGCAGGGGCCAGTCCCAAGTAATGGCAACAATCTGTAAGACAAATCCTTCTAAATATCTTTGATTCCAAAGATGGGGTTGATGCCTGGGTCCCCTGTCAAGAAAGTCCAAGCTGATAAAAGGGATATTTTAAGCAAGATCTGGAACTGGGGAAAGGGGCTGCTGCTGGGACTGTCAAATGATACAACCACTGTGGAAAGCAGTATGGTGAGTCCTTAAAAAGTTGGAATTAGAGATAATTTGACCCAGCCATTCCATAGTAATATAGGTATATATCCTTAAAGAAGTGAGAGCCAGGACAAGAACAGATATATGCACACCCATCTTCATCGCAGCACTATTTACAATAGCCAAAAGATGGAAACAACCTAGATGCCCATCAACAGAAGAATGGATAACCAAACTATGGTACATAGACACAACGGAATACTATGCAACCTTAAAGGGTAAAGCAGAATTGGCAAAACACCACATAATGTGGATGAACTTGGAGGACATTACGCTGAGTGAAATAAGGCAATCACAGAAGGAAAAATACTGTATTAGTCCATTATTGTAGAAAGTCAAGGAAAGGTTTATAAATGGAAGGAAATTTTCTTTGTTGGTTACCAGTGGTGGGAGGGGAGGAGAGGGAACCCTGTTAGATAGGTAGAGACAAGTATTGACTTGGGTGAAGGGAAGGGCAATGTACCAAATGTGAGTGATCAAGATGGTGGCACTGAGGAAGAGGAAGACATAAAGAGGTGCATCGGAGGTACAGACAACAAAGATGAACCCTTTTGCATATATAGTACTGCATTGTCAGTGAAGGCAAACATTGATTTATGCATTCATAGATGGGTGGATAGGGTGAACTATTAGGTATGTCTATGCAGTGGGGTGTGTGCCCATGACCATATATAGGGTTAGCAGACAATATTTCTACAAGTGTATTGGTATGTCTGGTAAGAATTTCCAGGTATATAGTAGAGCTGACAAGGGACAAGGTTGTAGTCACTGCTTGGCCACAGCCAGCTACACAGAGGGAGCAAGTAGTTGGACCTGTGGGCTTGGGACCATGGTCACAAGGGACATCAAGCTCAACTGGCATAACATACTACACAAAAACATTGTTCCACATCCTACTTTGGTAAGTAGTGACTGAGAAGTTCCAAGGAGCCATCTAGATGCAATGGTGGGTCTTTCCTCATCCAGAGCAAAGAAGAATGAAGAAAACCAAAGATGCATGGAAACAATTAGTCCAAGAGACTGGTACACCATGCGATCTTCAGCCTATATGACTATGAGACCAGAAGAACTAGATGGTGCCCAGCTACCATTGTCAACCACTTGGAGGGGGATCTATGTAGGAGATCCTGGATAGAGTAGGAGAACAATGTGGAACAAAACTCAAAATCATAAAAAAAAAAAAAAGAACCAGGTTTGCTGGTCTGAGGGAGTCTGGTAGAACCCCTGAGACTATGGCCCCTAGCTGTCCTTCATGTCTGGAACTGAACCCACTCCTGTGGCTAGTCAAACAAAAGGCAGGCATATGAGCTGAACATTTACATTAGGTAGATACACTCCTTGGAGAGATCAATCATGGGAGAATAGAAGGGCTGTGTATGCACAGGGAGACTGCTCAGGGGTCAGGAATATATGGGAGTGAAGGACATATGGAAGAGTTGGCTATGAGGAGGAAATGGGAAGAGAGCAGTTGAATTGTGGGAAATTACAGTCAATGTCATGAGGCAAAGTGTGTGTGAACTGCTGTATGGAAGATGAATTTGCTCTGTAAACTTTCACCCAAATCACGATGAAATTAAAAACAAACAACTATGCAATGCTGTACAATTGCTCAGTTAGGGAATAAAGCATTCTAAAACAGCAACTACTCTAATTCAGCTAAAGCATATTTTACTTCGTTTGAAATATTTAATAAATTAAAGCTAAAATAGAATGCTTTTGCTTGAATTCTCAGATTAGTGCCTTAATTCTTCACTTAATGTGTAGGGACCACATTTTACATGCAATTGTTCTGCTTGTTTAAACTGGCTAATTTGTAGAATTCTTTAAACACATTTCAAGCCTTTTAAAAACAAAAACTTAAGAGAAAATGTTATCCAAATAAGCATTTAATGGCAAACATTTTTTCAACCTGGAAATTTAGCTTGGGTAAGGTAATTGGATGAATACTTACTCTGCTTTTTGTTTTTGGCTTTTAGACTGCTGGAGGATCTTGATGCCCATCTTAAAGAGAAGGTCTCCTTCATCTGTGAAATTTTTCTTTTCTTGCTGTTTTACTATACATACATAAACAAGGGAAAATAAAAAGAGCAACATTATTTTTATGCTTTTTGAGAAACAGAGTATTAATTCTCATGGAAGCTAGATTTTGGGGTCCACAGAGGTGGGGTGATTCACCCAGTTCATTATTCTGAGATGTTCTTGTGAACCTTGAGCCTTGAGGAAGCTGATTTCTAAAAGTAACCTTGGAGTCAAACAAGGGTCTAGATAAATTAGTAAAAACCATTTTGCCTTAGGCACTGGACTCATTTAAAGAATTATTAAAGTACTAACAGTCTAGACAAACAAATTCCAGGGTCACACTAGAAGCTGTATTTTAGGCTAAATTGTTATTATAAACAGGGACACTGTTCTGTCCCTGTTTCCCTGGCAATAAAATGGAGGATAAGAATCTTTAGAAGTTCCCTTATTTTTGGAACATTTCTGACCTTCTAATTACAATGTTAAGGAACCCTGGTGGTGCAGTGGTTAAGGCACTTGGATGCTAAACAAAAGGTTGGCAGTTTGAACTAACGAGCTGCTCTGTTGCAGAAAGATGTGGCAGTCTGTTTCCATATGCATTTACAGCCTCAAGTCTCTTAAGTTATAAGACACCAATATGATTTCAAAATACACATGAATATGCACTTATAAAAGGAGCTCTGGTGCTATAGTGCCTAAGGCATTTGACTGCTAACCAGAAGGTGGCAGTTCAAACCCACCAGCCACTCCTTGAAATATGAACTTAGAATATGTCTATCATTGTGAGGCTCTATAACATTAACTGTGTCTTTAGTAACCTGTAAGGCATGAGAAAGTTATTTAGAAAATTTCTGAGCTTTGATATAGAAAGGAGCTGTAGTGGTTAAGGCATTTAGCTGCTAACCAAAAGCTCAGTGGTTTGAATCCACCAGCTGCTCTGTGGAAGAAAGATGAGGCAGTTGGCTTCCATAAGATTTACAGCCTTGGAAACTCAATAGGGGTCACTATGCGTCAGAATACACTCCATGACAGTGAGTTTTTTTTTTTTTTTCTCTTTTTTGGTTAGACATAGAAACATAGACACATGTGAGGCATGTAAGGAACTTAAACAACTAAGTTCATTTTGATCCAGCATGTTGTGATACAAGAAAATATAACATAAATCTAGACAACCTCCCTAATTTCTAACGTTGAAGACAAACTGTGTCACTCCATTACTCTGCAGAAAAGACATAACATAATAGTCTTCAACATAACACTAGCCTTTGTTGTGTGGAGCCAAGGTGACAAATTCACATATAAACCCTAAATTTCTGCTCATTCACAGAAAGAAGGCAGAGATGGAACTGAGATTCTGTCTGCCAACCCACTGCCTCTGTGGAGTCTGAGCCCTGGTTAAGACTTCCTTCCAATGGGTAAAATGGTAAAAGCCTGAATTCTAAAGATTTGAACTCTAACCACTGACCTAAATTGTGTTGTAATTGCTAATTCTGATTCTCTGGTTCTAAGTGAGTGCTGTGAGATGACCTACTTGTGTGCCTTTCTATGACTACCTTGCAATAGACTAAACCTCTGTATCTTTAACCTCTGTATTTTTTTTAACCTCTGTGTTCAAGAAGAGCACTTCAACCTTTCTATTATTCCCAAGCTTTAGGGCCTTCTGTTGGTCAGAAAGCAGAAGGTGCCTAAATAGGTACCCTCTTCCTATCTTTTATAAAAAGTGGCTCAGAGTTGGAGTGAAAGAGATGTTCCCAGCCTGGGAAGAGGATTTTAGCTGGTTCTGCAAGGCTCTTGCAGTTTCTGCAAGCAAAAGGCAGGAAGGAAGCAGAAGGAGGGCATGTTGCACCACAGATGCAGGATCTTAGGCATCAGGTTCTCAGTCTTGACTCCTTTGTCAAAGCATGATCTATAAACCTCAGACCCATAAGATGCCAGGAGAACATGAAGACATAGGCAAGAGACATCTCAGAGATGACCAGAGTGCATCTAGGATTGAAAAGGAGAACCTCCCTGAATTTGCTCTGCCCAAGGCTCCTCCCTCTTCAGAAAACTTCCCAAGACCTTGGGAAGATGCATAGAGACAGCACCAATAATGATTTATTTACCTTGTGGGTATAAAATTGAAAATCAATTTTATAGGACTTAAAGAAAACAAAGAAATGACATTTCATCTGCTGTAGCAGTCATATTTCCAATTTTATAACACTTCACAATCTTTAAAACATTTCAAAAGCTTGCAGTTTACAGATGGGGAAAGCTGGTTAGAGAGTTAGCCTTAGAAACAACAGCCCCCTTCCCACCCCGGCCCCCAAAACATCATGTTGCCTCTCCAAGTCCATTACAATGCTCAGTGAAACCTCTGATTAGGCTACTACACTTGAAGCCATTTCCAAGGAAACACATTGAGGGATCTAATGCCTCATTAACAAGACCACAAAGAACTTTAAGTGGTCCTTGTTTTTCTTCTTCCTGACAAGCTATCAGAGTTTTTCCACTTTTCTTTTTTTAAATTAAGAAAAAAAATTAACTTAAAAGTGAACTTACAATTATCTTGAATGCTTCAAGTTATCCAATCAATTTAGTAACACCAGACACTTTAAGTATCCAATTTCTGCTTTGAGTTATATGCTATCTATGCTAATGATTAAAGGGAGAAAAAATAACAGGAAAAATCTACTAGTCTGTGCCTAGAATAGTAATTTCTTCTATTAACATGCTTCCAAAGAATGAGAATAAATTTTGAAATGTTAACTCTGCATGAATATACATATGAGAAATGATTTACCACTACAGATTTCTACTAGGAGCTCTGGTGGTGTAGAACCTAAGGCATTTGACCGCTAACCAGAAGACTGGCGGTTCAAACCCACCAGCCACTCCTCGGAAGGAAGATTGGGCAATCTACATCCACCAAGAAGCGGTCTCTATGAGTTGGATCCGACTACTGATGACTTTTATTTTTATTTGCAATTCTCTTTTAGCTCCCTAAAGTACTGAAATACACATCGCCTTTACTATAAACCAGTTGCTGTTGACTCCAAAAAATAGCTATCCCATGTGTGTTAGAGTAGAATTGTGCTCCATAGGGTTTTCAATGACTGATTTTTTTTTCCAAGGCACTTCTGTGTGAACTTGAACCTCCAAACTTTGGTTAGCAACTAAGTGTTTTAACAGTTTGCACCACCCAGGAGTTATAAGGAGGGCTCAATTATCCCATAAAGGTGTCTAGATAAGGCTTTAATTTCCTTCTTATGATTTAACACTTTCTAAATTTGAGGAAGGGACAGTTAGTAAATGCTTTGAGGAGAACATTCTGGACTTAAGGTAAATAACATTTATGAATTTGAGTCCTCTGAACGGCCAACCTGTGATGCCTGTTGTTCTGCCCTACCAATGGATCTATTGTAATTGAGATAAGTCTGTCAGTTTGTCTTACTGTGTTGGCTTGCATATTGTTGTTATTCTGGAAGCCATGCCATCAGTATTTCAAACACCAGCAAGCCCATGTTGTACAAGCTTCAGTAGAGCTTCCTGACTAAGAAAGACTACAAAAGAGGACGTGGAGATCTACTTCTGAAAAAATTGGCCAGTGAAAACCTTATGAATAGCAGCAGAACATTACCTAATATAGTGCCAAAGGACCCTTAGCTTAGAAGGCATTCAAAATATGACTGGGGAAGAGCTGTCTCCTCAAAGTAGAGTTAATTTTAATGACATGGATGGAATAAAGCTTTAGGGATGTTCATTTGCTGATATGCACAACTTGAGAAAAAACAACCATAAACATCCATTAGTAATAGGAATGTGGAATGTATGAAGTATGAATCAAGAAAATTGGAAGTCATCAAAAATGAAATGGAACCATAAAGGTTGATATCTTAGACATTACTGAGCTGAAGCAGACTAGAACTGGTGATTTTGAATCAGACAATCTACTATGCCGGGAATGACAAATTGAAGAGGAATGGTGTCTCATTAACTGTCAAAAATACTATTTCAAGATCTATCCTGAAGTACAATGCTGTCAATGATGGGATGATATCCATAATAAAGGAACCAGTTAATATGACTATTATTCAAATTTACACACCAACCACTAATGGCAAAGATGAATAAATTGAAGATTTTTGCCAACTTCTGCAATCTGACATTGATCAAACATGCAATCAAGATGAATTGATAATTACTGGTGATAGGAATATGAAAGTTGGAAAGAAAGGATTGATAATTGGAAAATATGGCCTTGGCGACAGAAATGAAAAAAAATGCCAGTGATCATATGACAGAATTTTGCAAGACCAACAATTTATCCATTGTAAATACTTTTTCCAATAGCATAAATGGCAACTATACACAAGGACCTCACTTGATGGACTACATAGGAATCAAATCGACTACATTTGTGCAAAAAGATGATGGAAAAGCTCAAAATCATCAGTCAGAACAAGGCCAGGGGCCAAATGCAGGACAGGCCATCAGTTACTCATATGCAAATTTAAGTTGAAGGTGAAGAATATTAAAACAAGTCCATGAGAGCCAAAGTGTGAACTTGAGTATATTCCACCTGAATTTAGAGATCATTTCAAGAACAGATTTGATGCATTGAACACTAATGACTGAAGACCAGACAAGATGTGGGGTGATATCAAGGACATCATACATGAAGGAAGTAAAAGGTCATTAAAAAGTCAGGAAAGAAAGAAAATACCAATATGGATGTCAGAAGAGACTCTGAAACTTGCTCTTGAATGTGTTGTTGTTGTTATGCACCATCGAGTCGGATCCAACTCATAGTGACCCCTATGGGTCACTACGTGTTTCTGAGGCAGTATTGCTACAGAAGTAGATTGCCCAACCTTGCTTGAATGTAGAGTAGCTAAAGCAAATTGAAGAAATGGTGAAGTAAAAGAGCTGAACAGAAGATTTCAAAGGACACCTTGAGAAGACAAAGTGAAGTATTATAATGAAATGTGCAAAGACTTGAAGTTAGAAAACCAAAAGGGAAAAACATGGTTGGCATTTCTCAAGCTGAAAG